ACAGAATGATCGACTTGAATCCAGGTAAGAAAGAAATGCATGTAGTAAATAAAGTAGAATGGCTGATCCTTTTATTTTGCAATCTCATAATATGATCTAACAGAGACTCACTTAGTAACTGATCTAAGGGTTGTGAATAGAATGAAATAAAAATAACTGCATTTAAAAATTTAAATACCAAGAAGGCCTGTGGGCCTGATGCTCTTTCAGCTTTTCTCTTTATTTATTTATTTATTTTCTTAAATGACATCAGAAACAGCAGTATGCGACATTACGTGATGGCAGAGCTTCAGTTCATCCTTTGTCATTTTTTTTTTTTTTTAATAAATAGGACAGGGGGAATGAATGAGAGAAAGAGGGGGAGAGAAAGAAAGAAAACCAAAGGGGAGAAGAGAGGTGAGAAGGGGGGGGAAGAAAAAAAAAAAAAGAAAAAAAAAACTCCTGGGTCACCTGTATGGAGAAAAAAAACAAACAAAAAAAAAAAACAGAGGAGACAGCAAACAACAAAGAGCAACATAATAATAGAGAAAACAAAGCACCATCACAATAAACTAGCTAGTCATAGATATCAATAGTTACTGAATAATAAACGATATTGTGCAGCACGCAAGATAGACAGCGCACAGTGTGCTTTGAGGCAGCAGCCAAGAAAGCTTTAGTCCGCGTCTGTGAATACCCATGTGCTACACCTGTGTGCATACCTGTGTGGATCAGCATGCTTGCATTCCAAAGGTTTCTCCATGTAATGATCTGCTAGGGAGTGTGGGGGGGCCACAGCCCCGTCCTCCAGGGTGTGAAGCGGGTATGGAGGAGATCAAAACTCCAGACATCCAGAGGCCCCCAGAACACAAGAGACCAAGGAAGACCAACAGAGGGGCAGCCGCGCCACTGTCCAGAAAGAGCTGAGGAGAGTCCCAGATGAGGGCTCACTCAGCAGCCGCGGAGCAGAAGCCAGGGGGAGTTGCAGTGACGCGCCCGTGAGCTCCGCCGGCAGCCAGCTGTGCCTGAGTGACCGAGCCCCAGGCCGAGAGGCCGGGGGCACCCCACCTCCGAAGGGGCCCGAGCGAGCCCCAGGCCCAGGCCCCGAAAGCGGCCGCCAAGGAGTGAGCCGGTGTGTACCCGGACGCCCACCCCCAGACACAAAGAACCACCAACGCACCGACAGCTTTTCTCTTTAAACATTTGCTGATGAGCTGACTCCAGCTTGGAGTCCTGTTGATATCAGCTTCATCCTCACTATATAGAAAAAGGCTGCAATCAGCAAAATAATGATCACAGACCTGCAGCAGTAACATCAATAGTAATGAAATCCTTTGAATGCATTATGGTTGAGCACTTGTGAAGTGAAGTACAATTTGAATATAATTACTTTAACTCACTTGATTTTAAAGCATTTAGAAAACCCCTCAGCTTATGCACGATTGTTATTTATGATCTAAGATCAGCGTTTAATACCACAAACACTTATACACTGTTAAATAACATGAAAGTGGATCCCTATATAATCAGATGGTTGTTTGGCTATTTTCATTAAAAAAAACAACAGGAAGTGAAAGTCAGTTCTGCTCGTTCACACATACAATTTATAAGAACAAGAGTCTCACAGGGCTGTGTGAGATCTCCTGTTCTTTTCATATTATATTAAAAAAAATTGTGGAAATCAGAAGTGATTGTGCAGTGGTATAAGAAACACACCGTGTTAAATATAAAGAAAAATAATCGTCATATTTATAACGATCTTTGATGAAAGATCTATTGGAGATCTCAGCCTGGTTTCAATGACTGGAGAGAAGTTTGAACAAGTGACAACATTTCAGTGTTTAGTCTTCCCTGCAGGAGTCAAATATTATCAGTACAATTGCTGAATCATTATGGGTGAAACTGTGGGTGAGTGTTTGCATTTTTGTTTGTTTTTTGCATGATGTGTTTCCCTAAGTTACTCTGAATGGAGACAATAAAAGTTTATCTAATGTGATGACAGAGATGTTGAGCTTTTTAGAGTTTCATTATGATGGAGAAAATATAAAATACTCATTTAATTAGAGAACAAAAACCAAGAATATTGTTTGAAGCCTTGGAGCCTAAAATCATCTGAAATTCTCAGTTTTGTTTGTTTTGCCACATAGAATTACTTCACATAGAGCAAAGCTGGGACAAATGTTCATGTGACGTCTAAATCATTCAGATCCAAGAAGTAAATGTATAATAACATACTCTGTACAGTGATGTTGACTGCACTGCTGAACTCTCCTGATCCAGACTCACACCAGTACACTGCAGTATCTGACTTTGATGTGTTGATGTCACATGTGGATCCAGTCATTCTCCTACAGTCAGAGTACAGTCGGCCGTCCTCAGAGAACTTCCTCACTCTCCACTCAGTGAAGTTTCCCTCACAGGTCAGTGAGACAGAGTCAGAGGTGAAGTGTTGCACTCTGTCAGGACTCACTGTGAGAGACGCTGCTGAATGAACATCTGGAAACAACATGCAGTGAAGAGACAAAGCTCACAGATGTTAGGATTCAAAATATCACAGTAAGAAAAAAATAGTTCTTGCTACAACCCACCATAACTGCAAATAAATCTATGAATGAGATTTGTTAATACAGATTTAAATGTTGTGACTCCTGCAGCTGGAAAGATTTCACTGAACCATCTGGGTCTCTCAGTAATAATCTCACAGCATCATTAGAAGCAACATTAGAAGTTTCTGTAAACCTGCTTTCCTACAGTTTGTCCACAGCGTGCATGTTTGTTGTTGCACAAGCAAATATCTTCACCATCAGTCATGTAATAAGATGTCTGACATTTGTGACCTTATTACAAACAGTCAGATCATTATCAGACAGTTTAACATCAGCAGATCTTAAATGTTTGTTCTCTTTGCTTCTACAACTCATGACAGCACTTTTACAGGCATCATGTCTGATATCTTTTTCACAGCAATAGAAGAAGAAGCTGGGAAGGAGCTGCTTGAGACCACGAGATCATCTGTGTACATAATGTGCTTCACAGGAGTGCTGCCAGCTTTACAGACTTTCTAATCATCAACATGAAGATTAAAAAGACCTGGAGACAAAATTCATCCTCTGTTTAACTCTGTGAGAAACAAACAAGGAAGAATTTGAACAACAACAGAAGTGTCAGACTGAAGCTCAGTTTACTTGAATGTAGTGAGAAAGGATGAGATTCAATTTAATCCTTCTTGAGGAAACTTAAGTATAATCATTTAATGCAATTTAATTGTAATTGGACATCAGATTTCAATGTCAGCATGCCGCTGCAAGAAAATAATGGTGAATTAAAGTGATGACATAATTTATTAGAGAGAAACAAACTGACCTGCAGACCAGACAAACTTTGGTTGACTGTGATCAGTGTGATACTCTGGGTCTCCTCTTCCAGCTCTGCACACATATCCTGCTGTGTGTGTCTGTCCATGAATGATGTAGGAGTCCTGTGCAGTCCCACTGCCATCAGGTAGCAGCTCATAACTGGTAGGATTTCATAGCTGAATTTTCAGATCAGGAACAGCTTTATACCAGTAGAAGCTCCATCCTGCAGACGGATGTTCAACCTCACAGTTCAGAGTTACTGAGGCTCCAGGACTCAGCCATGATGGAGACACAGTGAGGACAGGACGGGGTTCATCTGTTCAACAAAGATTTTCTCTCAGTGAACATGTAGTACAGTCTCTGAACAGTGAGCTCAGTTTATACAAAGAATAATAATCTCAGTCTATATGAACAGAAACACATTTTACAAAGTGTTCAAACAGCTTAAAGCAAACATGACTTACTGTCAGAAACTGTCAGTGTGACTGAATCACTCCACTCTGTTGTTTCATGCTGTGAACTTTTCATTCTGCCCTTACAGCGATAGTTTCCACTGATCAATGATGAAGCATAAATAATCCTGTATTCATTTAGATTTGGAGGTTTTCTGATGCTGTTTGCTTCCCACTCATAATCCCACTCAGTGTCTCCTCCATGGATCTCACATCTGACAGTGATCGTCTCTCCTCTGTATATCTCAGACCAGTTTGGATGCAGAGTCACAACAGGCCTGTTTGACACTTAATGTTCAAGAAAGTACAATAAAAACACATGAATGACAAAAGGTTCAAATACCATCAGATGTAGTGCTTTGTGGTAAGTTCAAGTTTGAACTCACCAGTTGTGTCAATCCAAACTGACTCACTGTCCTCTGTGTAGTAAACTGGTTCTCCTCTTCCTCCTCTGCAGCTGTAGCGTCCTCCCTCTGAGACACTGATTTGTCATTTTCACAGGTTCATAAGATTTCCCATCTTGTACCAGTAGTATTTCCATCCAGATGATGATGATGATGATGATGATGATGTGGTTCACAGAGCAGGTCAGGGTCACACTGCCCCCTACTGGAACAGCTGTCCTATCAGCTCTCAGTTCAGCCTTTGGTTTCGCTGCAGTTCAGTTTAGAACAAGAACATAAAAGTAAAAATGACTGAATCAGAACAATTTAAAGATGGAAACATGTAAATGATCAAATATCACAAAACTTTATTAGTGAAGCTATAACAAAGTGTGTGACACAAAATACTCTGAAATACTGTTTTGATCTGCACAGCAAATTTTTTTTAAATTTACTTCAGTGTATTTAAAATTAATTAATAAATGCATAGTTCATTTATTCTCATTAATTTGAAGCATGACTTAGTTAATTCATCTGTAATGAGAAAGTAACCCAGGTTAATATGATCTGATTGTACTTAGCATGCTATGTCCTTGTGTTCTTTACTAAATCTGCTGTTGAAGCCTCTGATAGCTAAGATGAGACCTAGTAAGTGTGTTTTATATTCTTTTGCTGTGGAAGCTGACATTTTCTGTCGATGTGCACAGATGTGTCAGAATGGGTTTTAAAAGACACATCGATGGTTTGGAGGAAGTAATTACTGAAGCTAACTCAGAAAGATCAATTAGAGAAAAAACTCTAAATAAATATCAATGGTACTGAAAGTAGCTGCACATAATGTTTTGTCTGTGAGATGATTATGAGTAATTTCTATACTCATTAAATATCATTAGCCTAAAGTAATAACATACCAGCACAGACCAGCGTCAAACAAAATGAGGCCATATTGTCGTCTGCAGTTCAGAGTTCATGAAATGACCTGTATTTGTACAGCGCTTTACTAGACCCCAAGGACCCCAAAGCGCATTACACATTCAGTCATCCACCCATCCACACACACATTCACACACTGGTAATGGCAAGCTACATTGTAGCCACAGTCACCCTGGGGCGCACTGACAGAGGTGAGGTTCATTAAGTGAAAAAGATCCAGTGTGTGTTTGTCACCAGACTCTTTAACTAAAACCTGAAACCTCTAAGATCATTTCAACAATAGACAACATGCTAAAAACAACTGAAGTAACTGCATCATATGTTGGTGCAACAGGGAGTAATAAAAATAAAAATAACACAAATACAGAAGTGAAAATATTGGATGTAACTGTTGTTCTTAGTGGATGTGGTGGAGCAGCTGAAGCAGGTTCAGCATTTGTTCTGCACTTCATGTATTAGAGCTGCACAGCAGAGAAGTTACTCTGATATGTTTTGTTCTCTTGAATGTGAATAAAAAGATGCTTTTCAAAATATTTTACTGAGCAGCACAAAAGAAACAGCTACAAAGCTGCAAGAAAAACAAGAGTTTTCACTGATTTTGATGAAACAGATAATCTGGATGAAACATCTGCAACTTACATGATACAGTCAGTGTGATGGTATCACTCCACTGTGTTAACAAATAGGTCCTTGTGCCCCGGCAGCTGTATCCTCCACTGTCAGACTCAACAGCGCTGCTGATTCTGTATTCATTGGATGTTGGAGGTGTGTTTCCCTTAGCTGGTCTCCATTTATACGTCCACTGAGCTCCTTCACCTCCCTGAATGTCACATCTGACAGTGACTGTCTCACCGCTGTATATCTGAGTCCAGGATGGCTGCAGGGTCACAGTGGGCTTAGGAGGAGCTGATCAAATAAAACATAGCATGAGTAGACTGATAATTTGACTTAAAAAATCAACAATAAAAGTTGTTTTTATACTTTTTAAATGTTTTATACATTTATGAACATATAATCCATTAGTTGTCAGTTAGCTGTTGTTTGCTAACAATGCTGTTAAACCTCCAGTGGTGGATTCAGAGCTGGAGATTTAAAGATAAACGAAGTGAAAAAACTGCTACTATAAGTAAACATACAAGCAGTTTGAGAAAGGTTAACATAGCAGACCAGTCTCTCCTAAAATGAGGACAATCATTTATTATTGTTTTACACTGCTTTTGTTAGTATTTTGTATGTTTTTGGATGAATTGTGCAATACAAATAAAATAAGTGAGGAGATGCGTTTAAATTGTATCCCTGAATCTTATATCTGACAGTGACTTTCTCACCTCTGTATATCTGAGTCGTGGATGGTTGGAGGGTCACAGTGGGCTCAGGAGGACCTGATCAAATAAAAATATATCATTATCATTAAAAATCTATCCTGGTTTTATTGCTCTTGTTAATTTTAATTATATTTATGTCCTGGTAAAAATTTGACTACAAATCAACAATAAAAAGTTTAGTTTTTACCAAACAGATTAAATGATATTTAGACTCTACCAGCAGAGTGACTGAACACAACCAGGTGTGCACAAATCTAAACTGTGACACTGAACATCAACGCATAAACACACAATATCATGTAAACAACCTCAGTTTTACAACCTTAGTTGAGGTTACAGTCAAATATCACACAATTTACTAATTTCCAGAGGTGGGAAGTAACGAGGTACAAATCTGTACTTTAGTTGAGTATTTATGTTGACATTGTGTTTTTCATAGTGTGAAGCATGCTGCAAAACAAACTGAGGTAGAATCACTGTGTTTTTTAAGGCTTCATGAAAATCCTCTACAGATTAGTGCAGGATAAACAGGTTAGTTTGCTGTACTGTGATGGATTTAAAGGAAAGACCAGTGTGTGACTGGTGCACAGTGACAGTCCAATATAAAGTCAGTATAAACAGTGTACTGTGAGTGTAGAGACGAGGACAACTCATGAAACGTCTGCTTACATCTGACTGAATTCAGGTGGATAAATCTGTAAAGAGCAGCAAGTCAGCTGATCACAGCTCATACATTAAGAAAATCTAGTGGAGCTCTCAATAGAAAATAGCCTGAGCCATTAAAAACTGATTTTAGGGTTTTCCACAGGCTGAATCCCACTTTAGACTCTTGTCCATTCTCTTCCGCTTATCCTTATCAGGGTCGCAGGAGGCTATAGACTATCCCAGCTATCATAGAGCGAGAGGCAGTTTACACCCTGGACAAGTTTCCAGTCTGTTGCAGGGCTAAGACAGAGACACAGACAAACATTCACACTCCCACATATTTAAAATAATCAATTCACTTAACCCCACTAAGTGCATGTCTTTAGACTGTGGGAGGAAGCCGGAGTATCTGGTATTTCCTTTCATTTTTATCCATGTAGCTTTGTACAAGGATTTTGAGAACTCCAAGAGTTAATACAAAAGCGTACACTGAGGTAAGCAGCACACATGCCAATATCAGTGACATACACTGCACTACTCACACAAATCATCATCTTCTTGTAAATCTGTACTGTAAACTGTTTAGATTAACATCCATGAAAAGAGAATTAGTCTGTATGAAGGCAGCACACTCTTAATATGATCATTTTAAACACTCTGTGTTCCTCCGCCACTGCCTCATTTAAGTTTTGGACAAAATGGATTCTGGGATATTACATTTTGTCATTTCGAGCTGATTGGAGACCAGAACAGCCAATCAGATTTTTTTTGCATCCAAGTCTGTGATTGGCTGGTTTTGTGGCACAAATATAACGGTGTACAGAAAGAGTTGAGCGCACACGGGCAGAAATGTTGAGCGCGCGAGCAACATATTGCGAGCGAGCGCAAGTAAAAAAACTGAGCGAGAGGGGCTGCTGTTGTGTGTGTGTGGATAACAGCAAGCACTGAGATACATTTTTTGCATGCAGCAATGAATTTTGTTCACTCAAATTTAGCTTTTCTTCACTCAAAATAAATTTCTTCTCAAAATGCAACACAATTTTTTTTATGTGCGGTCAGAATAGTGGCACAAAAATAACGCCATACAAAACCGACTGACAACTGACTCCATAAATATACAAGATGGTGATGAGGAAACACACGGAGAACACAGTTGAGGGGAATAAACATAATGACACAATACAGGAAGCAAAACTGAACACAGGATGGGACACTGTCAAAGTAAAACAGGAAACACTGAGACCTACACCTGAGACACACGGACTTGACAACAACAGTGATAAACAAACAGGGAGGCAATAGCAGAGACACAAGGACAGGAACAGGTGAAGAGAGGATGAAGATGAAGATGAAACACAGTAAAACGACTAAGACACAAGGGGGTGAGGGAGAGGGCGAGAGAGAGAGGGCAGAGAGATACAAACATCGAATAAGGCACATGGAGGGGTGAGAGACAAACATGGGTGACAAAACAGACTCACCACAGAGAGGAGACATGGAATGAAACACGGGAACAGAAAAGGGAGCCAATGAGCCACCACCCTGACACAATCAGTGTAAGAAATGATTTACAGTACCAGCTGATCAGTCTTTAAAAAGTGAGAACAAAAGAACAAAACAAGTACACTGACAAGGAAAAAAGGGACAATTTAGGCATGACTGGAAATGAAAGACAGGTGAAAACCATCTGCAAAGTTGCAAATGATATATGTAGACAAAACAATTTCTTACCTTCAGCCATTCCATAGATGATACTACTGAGCACTAAAATAATGAATAGAAGACATCACACATTATACAACTGATGAAAGGGTTTTTTTAAAAAAATGACCCACAATCATCAAATTTCTGTGCTCCTATTTGTCAAACTAAACAATATAACTAAAATAATTGTAACACAGTGTGTAACTATAAATGATCCAGCATCCAACATTCAGTAAAAAAACTCACAAGTCTGCTTTGTTCCAGCTCTCAGGTAAACAGGTTAAAGCAGTGACTCACTGTAATTCTCACAGCCCAGAAACATTTTAATTAATGGTGCCTTTCAAACAATGTCAGACGTGTACTTACAGAAAAAGCCCATCATGCAGAGCAAAGCATCGTCACATCCAGCCTGCTGCACTCTGATCCTCAAATAATCAAACAGTTTTACTTTGCAGAAAAAAGAAAGACAGAAAAGAGTTGTGTATCGTACAGATAAGACAAGAGTATTTTTCCACAGTTTTTTCTTCTGATTGGTGTCTCTGTGCTTCCTTCCCTTTTCCACAAAATTCAAACAGTGCCTGTGGCTTTGACCGCAGCACTTGTGCAACATGTTTAATTTCCTGTGCATTGCAAACATAGATGTTTGTTTCTTGCGTTGTGTTGTTTCCTTTCTCTATAATATACAAACGTGTTCTTTTGCTTGAAGTCAACATATTTGACCAGGTCAAATTTTTTATCATTTAAACTCTGACAAGTTTTTGCAGCGTCCTGTGTATCATTATCACGCTGCAATATTCCACTTGCAGCAGATTGGGAGTCACTGGGAGTGAATGTACCAAAACACCTTTTCTGTTTTGCAGGCTGTATTTTAACATTTCAGTATTTTAAATGAAGAAAATTATGAGAAATTATGTTGCAATTCTTATTTCATGCTGCATAAAAACATGTAGATTTTATTTGACTGTTAGCTGAAAAATCATCATACAGTACTGTGGTGAAAAAGGTTCTTTTGATCTCAGCATAGACCTATGAATGTTTTTACCTTGTGGTTAAATTCTGGCTTTAGGTTTGGTTGAGACCCAAAAACAGGAGACTAACCTGTGAGTCATCACAAATTCTTCCATATGAAGAACTTGTGATGACCCAACTTACAGCCTTCAGTAAACATAAATAAATAAATCAGAATAATACACTCTATGATTTGACAGAAGTACAGCCAAACATATCAGTGTACACTATGTCAGAAGATATTACCCTGTCCCTACAATATGAGTGAATGACCTCTACCATTACCAACACTTATTCATTGTTTTCATTTTTGCTGTGGATTGTAATTATGTGAGATGCCAGGATGTTTTGTTGTGTATCTACTTGTGTTATAATAATTATTCCTTAAAAAATTTTATTTTTATATTTTTACTCATGTTGCCATAGTAACTTTAAAATTTGAATTCATACTTAGTAAATACACAGAGCATTGCAACAAACCACATGTTGCTTTGTTGTGTTAAACATTTCACTTATAACTGGATCTAACTTCCAGTTCCTCTTTACACATACTGAGGTTAGATAACAAGAATAAAATGACAACACATTCACACCAGAGCTAAAGTGTTTTTAAGAGACATCAAGTTTTAACTCTGTGGAAGTTGTGTCCTCTGATTTTTTCCCCAGTTAATAATGCAGAAATGAAAGCACAGTGTCTATAATAAATTGAATTGTTCTTACTATTTTGGTTCTAAAGGCTGATGGAGAAAAACATAAGATCACTGAGGGGGTTTTTAAGTGCAGAGATGGTGCAGATAAGTCTGTAGCTACGTGAAAACTTTCAGTTATACTTCTTGGTTTGAACCAAACCACGTACAGACTGACTTTCAAAAGGCCACAAAGTTTTATTCATTCATGTTCATGTTTGGTCACAGAAGCACAAACTTCTTAACTAGCACCTGAAATCTTGCCTCTCCGTGGTTTTTTTTTTTTTGTTTGTTTGTTTGTTTTGTGGTTTTTGTTTTGTTTTTTAATATAAGTTATGTTGTGACCTATATGTGGAAATGTGGAAATATTTCTTCTGTTTTTTGGGTGAGATTATTTCTAAATTATTTCTCCTAAAAATGAGAGATTTAAAGTAAGAATTGTTTTATGGTGCTCAAATGGTGAAACAATAAAAATACAGATCAAACTGGAAGATTTATCACGATAGATTTGATTATTGTACTGTTGAGCCTCATCCTCGATGACTTTACATTGTCTTTACTAAGATCAGAAACAAGTGTAGCCAATACAAATATTCATAGCAGCGAATTATTTTGATAAAAGAAAGTAACAGAGACACAGAGCATACAAGTAAATGGTTCTACTTTTATTTATTACAGTCTTACTCGAAAAAAAGTGACGACATGCAAATTATTAAGCAGAAAAATATAAACAAAATCAGTGCAGTTAGAAACTTCTTCTGTGCTTCTATCTATTAGGTTACAACTCTGAGTTTTATCAGTATTTCAGACTTTTTGATCACAAGCTTTCTTTCTAAAACAGGTGAGCAGGTTTATCTGTGGACAGTCAAGTGCTGAGAAAATGAAACTCGACATTTGGCAAAAAAATCTGCTTGATGTCAGATCAGTTTTTATTATTACAAACAGTTTTTTATGTTTCACTCTAAAGCATTATACTTATGTGTGTTTTTCTCCTAACTCTGGGCGTGAAATGAGACATTTTACACACAAAAGAAAATAAAATTCACACTTTATTTATGTATTAAGTCTTACTTGTAAGTTCGGTCGTCATCAGTTTTTTTTTATACTTGATACAGACTACCTGAGACAGCAACAGGAGAGCAGGTCCTTGTATTCACAAGTACCACAGACAGTAATTCTGTTATACAGGAAGTACAAGGAAATATTAAACTGATCTGAGAACAGAAATCGCAGTTTAAGCAGCTGAAGAGGCTTAGAATAATAATACACAGTAGAAATAGAAACAGTCCAAATAAATGAATATAATAGATAAGTAAGGGTTAAAAGGGGAGATAAAAGTTGGAATATTTCACTGAAACTATGGCTGAAATGTTAAAAATGTGTTAAAATGACTAAAGTTAAACATAGATTTCTGGAGGCACCACAGACAAAAAATAATAATGACTAAAAATAGTGACAAGCTGTTAAAACTATAAAGACAAAAAAAATTAACCACAAGCTGAATGTAAAGTGAGGTGGAAAAAGCTATAACTAGAGTGCATATTAAAAATAGTTTGGTAAGTTTAATAAAAGTATTAATGTCGGGTTGTTGAGAGTTACAAATCAGACGTAAAGCAAATCAGTAAAACTGGAAGACGAAGAATGGAGAACATGCAAAAAATCAGTTACTCAGTAGAACTGTTGGTGAGAAAAACAAATGTTCATCTTAAGTCACAAATATAATTGCATACATTTCACATATGAACCTGTTTTATATACAGCATGAATGAACTTGATATTTTTTATGTCCCAGCTATAGATGTTCTGTGGTGAGGGAAAAAAAATGTTTATACTTATGTTTGAGGGAATGAGGAATTCTGCTCTGAGCTCGGGTGACTGAGGAATTGCTGGATGAATACATGAGAAGCTGGTGGATATCAGCTTTAAGGATGTGTGAGGGGTCACCGACTGCCCCTGGTGTCTGTGACTTCCTGTTGGAGAACAATAAAGTTTAATTTAAAAACAAACATCGTCTGCCCTCGATCTAAAGTGAAGTTCTGTTTTGTGTGATTGAGTCTTTACAGAGAGTGTAAAGTTACCTGTATCCTTACAGGCTTTGTTTAGAAGGTGCAGACAGACTTTTTACCTGTGTGGAGGAGAATATCGTCTGGTTTTACTTTCATGTAAACATCTGGTCTCAGACATCTTATTATTTGTAATTCGTTCTGTGTTGTGAACATTTTTTGTGGAAAATGTGAAGCTGAAACACTTCTCTATCTTCTTCTATATCAGTAAAAAATCATTAATACTTTTTCCTTTTTTTTGGTTTTAAATTACCTTCACCTGGGATACTTGAAGCAATGCTGTGTTTTGTGCTGCGATGCTGTTACTCAATTAAATGAAACTGACTGTCAGACAGAGATGAGCTCATGCTTTGTTGTTATTTAATCAGAAATGTATGAGTGAGAATTTTGCATGTATAATATTGAAGGAAGTAATTAGAGTAAAATACAGCTTTATTGTTAACTCGGCTTTGGTCCAGACTAATATATGTTTTTTAGTGCAGTGGCACTCTGAGATCAATGCAATGTGTTGTCAGGCATATCTAGTTATTCAAACAGTGATGCTAATAGTGCCTGTAATAGATTACTTTGGCTTGTAATTATGGATAGATTTTTGACTAAGACCAAAAAGAAGAGAGTTGCAGTAATCGATCTGGGAAGTGACCAGGCTATGAACAAGAATGGCAGTGGCATGTGGGGAGAGAAAAGGACGGAGACGATTAGTGTTACGGAGTTGGTAATATGTAGACCGAGTGATGTTATTGATGTGTGAGTTAAAAGATAGGGTACTATCAAGGATGACACCCAGACTTTTCACACATGGGGAAACGGAGACCGGCGAGTTATTGGTTGTAATAGAAAAGCTATTAGTTCTGGATAGTGTTTATTTAGTGCCTACCAGGAGAAGCTCAGACTTGTTACTATTGAGTTTGAGAAAATTGGAAGAGAACCATGAATTTAGTTTGGCTAAACAGAGGGTGAGGATGGGGGTAGAGCAGAAACAGGTTTAGTGGACAAATAAAGCTGGGTTGGTCACGGTTCTGGGTCCTTTTGACCCAGCATTTTCAGTTTCTTGTATGTTGGTATTTTTCTGTATTATGGTTTATTTTCTGATTCTTTAGTTGTCCGTTTTTGAATATTATAATCCGAGGTTTCAGTGTTATTCTGGTTAAGAGTTTGTTCGTAGGTTTAGTTCAGTGTCTAGTCTGTGCCTGTCATGTTTCCTGTTTTACTTTACTTTGTAAGCCTGTGTGCTAGGTGAATGTGTTGAGTTTTGCTTCCCTTTGGTCTTGTCATGTTTGATTTCTTCCAGCTGCGCTCTCCTCCTGTGTCTCATTCCCCTCATTATTCCCCAGTGTATTTAAGCCCTGTGTTTCTGTCTTCCTCCCTCATGCTGTGTGATCCCTTCTGTGCCTCTCTGTGGAGTTTTAGGTTTTGTTTTCTCAGTCTAGTTTAGTTCTGCATCATTTCCCTGAGTCTGCTAATAAAGCAGCATTTCCATGTGTTGGGAGCAGTGTTGGTCAAGTTACTTGAAAAAAGTAATCAGTAACTAATTACTGATTACTTCCCCAAAAAAAGTAATCCCGTTACTTTACTGATTACTTATTTTCAAAAGTAATTAATTACTTAGTTACTTTTTAAAAACACGATTTACAACCTGAAGAGGTGATAAAGCGATAGATCTTTCAGCCCAATTCTACTTTTTCTGCATAACCCATCATACAAAATGTAATCAAATGGAAAAGTCTCTTTTTAAAACTTGTTTTATTAGTTTTAAGCTTTTAACTTTATGCATCAAGCAAAAATTTAATTATATGCACTATTCTCTGATTTGAAGAAATTTGTTTAACATATAAACCTATTTTCTGCACATTCCAGAACATGAAATAAAATATTTTTTTGTTTTTACACTCAGTCTTTCAAATAGATGCAAGTAAAACACAGCAGAAAATAAATAACATCAAACACTAGCGGTCCTTTTGCTCTATTTTCACCTGTATAGCAGGAGTGGGATAGGCGGAGGTGTGCTCTGGTGCAGGTGTGCCACAGCGGTCAGTTGAAGAATCCGCGAGTTTCTCTGTGAATTTCCCATTACGTTGTTGCGCACTCGGAGCTTGTTTGGGGGGATTTCAGTGTAAAAAGAAGTTTTCTTCCCACGCACAACGGACACTAATGTTTTTGTCACTTTTTATGGAATCAAACTCAAAGTAAGGTCAGTACTTCCACACTTTAAAGGCTGCACGCTCATACTCTCTCCCACAATCGATATGTGATCCATTGTTGATCTGCACACAGCTGTTGTCACGAACAGCGCACTCGCTCACTGTCGTGAGACATTCTCGCAAAAAAATCACAGTTTTAGTAACGCAGTAACGCAGCGTTCCTACGGCAAAGTAACGGTAATCTAATTACTGTTATTGCAATAGTAATCCCTTACTTTACTCGTTACTTGAAAAAAGTAATCAGATTACAGGCAGATTACAGTAATCAGATTACAGGCAGTAACGCGTTACAAGTAACGCAAAATGTCTCGAAGAGGAAGAAGGTAGAGAATGGAAAGAAGGGGCTCAAGGACAGATCCCTGGGGCACGCCTGCAACCAAAGGAAAGGGCTGACAAGTGAAGGATTTAAGTCAAATAAAATGAGTGCGACCGATGGATATATGTTTTTATATTTCATTTGTTTGATGTTTAACTATTTTTGCCATTTCATTAAATACACTATATACTGTGATTTAATTAAGATGAAAAGAATAAAATAATAGATTTACACACATCGCTTTGTTTTCATACATAAGAAACACCAGGCCTGGCCAAAAACGAACAATAGGGTGGGATTTTGCAATTAATGTTAAACAAATATACCTCAGGTATGTAGAAGGTGTAACAAAACTTTCTAAATGATGGCAAGAACATTTCTTCAGCGTAAAAATATGACAACACTATTATTTTGTCACATATAGACGGACAATATGATACAATATCATTCTGCTTACGAAGCAGACAAACTTTCTCTAAACTCTGAATGGCCTTCGATGTGTATAAGATTCGACTCTGGTGTAGCGGTAGTGTGTAGTAGTTAAGTCTGGTAAGTGAATTTCCATGTTGACCTATAATTACCTAAAACATAATGAAGTGACACATTTCAGTACAAACACTGACTGAAAATATTGTGACTGTACCTGCAGCTCCCATCTGTACATTGATGTAAAAAGCACTCCCCTCCGGTTTATGATGCTCCCCTGTTAAAATGATCAATTGAATCCACAAAAAATAATTAATACTTAAAAAACTTTCTGACCACTCTGCGATCACTGTTTGTTCTAAGATCTTTAATCTCAAAAAGAGAGGAGGTAACATTCTCATATTTATGTGGTCCTCAAATGTTCATATTTTTATTTACAGGATTGTAAAAACATGTCACATGGAATTAGTTTCATTAAATCAAAAATAAATTTCATCTCAAACTGCTCTGTGCATTTCAGTGCATATACTGTACCATTTCTGTTTTTGAATTGTTTGATTGATTCATAGACGTCAGCAGTACCTAAAGAAAAATATAAGCCAGGGTTACATTAATCATTTTATTACAGTTACACTAAAGATGAGATGTTTAATAAAGATCAATATTAATAATGATGATGATAAAGATCAGTTTAAATGCTGACCATGTTGAAGAGAGTCGTACACATGAGTTTCATTCTGGTTGACTCCATGATTTGTGGAGGAGCCCGGACTGTGACTCTCAGACTGGATCGACCTAAAACATAAAATACACAATAAACTCAAAAGTAACTGATGTTTGTTTAAAATCATAATAAAAAGTATTTTACCAACCTGGTGAAGCAGGAACCTGTGAAAGAGACAAATGTTATTACACATGTTTGTCATGTATAAATTGTTCCACTGATATTTTGTGTCATGAGATCAGAATACATGTATATGTGTGAATAAGTAAAGTGTATGTAGTAAATAAACTCTCTAATACAGCATGAAAAGAAGAGGCTCTTACACTTGGACTGTCTGCAGCGATACAACAAGAGCAGGAGAATAATAATGAGAGAGACTCCACAAACCAGTCCAACCATCAACCACACAGGAGATGAAGAGCTGTCAGCTCCTGACACAGTTACTGTAATGACTAATGACAATTATTAAGTATTAATAAAATATAATTATATCAGATATTTTACAGAGGTTCTCACAAAATAAACCAAGTTGACTTCAAAAGTTAAAACAAACAATTTAATGTTCCTTATAATAATGAAAATCATTTACAGAAATCATCTAAGGCTCTTGGAAAGAAAAGCGTCTGGACTTTGTTTCTTGTAGACATTTCACCTCTTATCTGAGAAGCTTCTTCAGTTCTAAGGTCAAATGGTGGAGAGTCCCAGATTTAAACCTAGTGGGTCCAGACGCTTTTCTTTGCAAGCTCCTTTGACTACGATGACCTGGATGACTGAGAACCTTCACAGACAAACCTAGTGGGAGTTTCTCCCCCAAGAGGGACATGGACCCCCTAATGATCCTCTACCTAATCACACGAGCCAAGGTGTGAAAACGGGTGTGGGTCACAATCAGCCAAGGTTTTGGGTGAGCTCATTGTGAAACCTAGCTCCACCCCATCATGTAACTTCCTGAGGTCAGATGGCCCAGGATGTGAGTGGGAATTAAGGCGTCTTGGAAAGGATCACAAAACTTATTATAGATGGCAGACAGATGGTGTCATAAACCACCGCCTCTGTTCAAAGATGGTCGCTCACAGTGGACATAAATGGCTTCTTTCACTCCTCTTTCAAACCATCTGTCCTCTCTGTCCTAAACGTGAACTTTGTCTTCCTCAGAACAGTGACGCAGATGGACAGCCTAGTCTTGTCCTTTGGAGGTGGCTCTTCTGTGTTGTGCCATGCGTTTATGAAGTGGCTGTTTGTCTCTCCAATGTAGAGGTCTGGGCATTCCTCACAACAATGTACAGCATACATCACATTGCTAAGTTTGTGTTTAGGAGTTTTGTCTTTGGGATGAACCAGTTTTTGTCTGAGTGTGTGGCTGGGTGTGAGGTACACTGGGATGTCGTGCTTGGGCAAGACTCTCCTGAGTTTTTCAAATAAACTGGCTACATATTTTACAGATTTTAGAAATTTTACAAAAAAAATATGCATGTGCCATGGGCTCCCCGGTGTCATCTATTGTAGCCAACCTTTACATGGAGGAAGTGGAAATAAAAAGTTCTTGGCTCTTTTAAAGGGAGAGTACCAAGCCACTGGTACAGATAACAATATTATCATTCCCTATTTAGCCGGTCCGACCATCTTTGAACAGAGGTGGTGGTTTATGACACCAACTGTCTACCATCTATAATCCAGTTTCGAGATCCCTTCCCATACGCCTTAACGCCCACTCGCATTCTTGGCCATCTGACCTCAGGAAATCACAATGATTTCACATGAAACCTTGGCTGATTGTGACCTACACCCATTTTCACACTTTGGCTCATGTGATTAGGTAAAGGATCAAAAGGGGGTCCGTGTCCCTCTTGGGGGACACTCCCACAGGGCTTAAATCTAGGACTCTCCACCATTTGACCTTAGAACAGAAGAAGAGTCCAGACGCTTTTCTTTCCAAGCTCCTTAGACTACGATAACCTGGATCACTGAGAACCTTAATAAGACATTTACTGAAACACACACTGTTTTGATTCTGCTCACCTTTAACTGACATCCAGCTCTGTGCTGACTCTCTTCCTGAGTACTGACACTTGTAGAAACCTTCATCAGACTTTGACACTGCAGAGATCTTCAGCTCCCCTCGGGTATCATTTTGAATAAGTTTGTCATTGTGATAGAAAAACACATTGGAAAGTATTTTTTGTGTTCTCAAACTGCAGCTCAGACTAACAGAAGCTCCCTCAGTCACAGGATGAACAGGACTCACCAGGATAGGAACATAATTGTAAGGATAATAAATAGAATTTTCTGTGAAAAGAAAATACAATTTATTCAGTCAGATGATGTTTATATGTGACTGCTGTAGTAGTGGTGTGATGTTTCAACACAGCTGCAGGAGGACAGGTGGGGCAGAATAGTTCATGGAGCTGCTGTTGTGGATTTTATTATGACATATATACTTGTATACACTAGACATGTAGTCATATTTATTCACATGAATCTTGTGTAATCATATATCCTCATATATGCTGTGCACACTTAGAATGAAGCGATTTATATAGAGGAGTCACTGTGTTAAGCATTTAACCTGAATGTTTAAATTACACAGCCCATATATTTAGGACAAATATATCTACCGTCATATCAGTGAAAAAGTTTGTGATCAATATTGTTTGAAAATGTAATAATTAGGATCAAAAAGTAACCTTTGATTGTGTTATGGCCAACAGTGACTAGTCCAACATAAGGTTAATGCAGCTCAGCACTTTTAGAGTATGCACATAGGACCCTTACTCAGCATTCATTTGTGTTTATCTGTACCGTCCCACGCCCATGTTGTCTCCAGGCCTTTCAATGCCTGTACAGAAAACAGCCCTAGCTGGGTATGCACCTGAGATTTTTGGTCCTAGCTTCAGTTGCCTGAACACAGGAAAAACTTTTTTTTAGCATAAATAGCAGTTTATGTCTGGAATGCACACCTGATAAAATTGTCAACTTTTTAAAATTGTTAACTATTTAAGACCTACCACAGAATCAAGTCCGCCAGAGCTTATCTTTATATTTTTACATGCTGTAGTGCCATTTTGGGAGTATTTCAAGCTGCTATACATCATTACAACCATTGGAAGGGAGGATGAGCAAATACCAGCTGGCCATGACAGACGCTGAGACAGCGCTTCATGGTGCAGTGTTTCCGATTGATGTGCTGCAGAGTCTGGTCAACACCTTCGAACGTCAGAGAGCTGCAGAGCTTCTTGGGCCTGGCCTCATAACTGCTCGCTGTAGTTCTAGCAGTACAGCACTTCTGGCTAGCTGCAGTTGCCAAAGGTACTTGCAGTTCATCTCCCTATAATGCTAGCACCAGCTGCGTGGCGGCCTCCTCATCACTCCTACCACTGTGCCTTGCTGGACTTGAGAGGTAGGGCTGTAGCGGGGTGATTCCATTTTACTTCAGTATTTTAGCTGGCATTTTAGGCATCGCTGCATGCTGCTGGGAGCTCAGCATGGTGGTCAACGGAGGCAGCACATAAATCGGAAACACCGCACCATGAAGCGCTGTCTCAGCATCTGTCGCGGCCAGCCAGTATTTGCTCGTCCTCCCTTCCAATGGTTGTAATGATGTATAGCAGCTTGAAATACTCTAAAAAATGGCGCTACAGCATGTAAAAATATAAAGATAAGCTCTGGCGGACTTGGTTCTGTGGTAGGTCTTAAATAGTTAATAAAATCTGTTTTAAGAATTAAACTCTTTTCCAGAGAATCATTATGAGTGATTTGATTTTAATTGGATCTGAAAAGCTCACCTCATTGGTGGGATAAAGGTTATCATGCTGGGTACAAAATTTGTGACCCAACACTGTGCACAGTGCAAGTAAAATAAATAAAGTTTGAACTCCCTGACTGGCTCTGAACTGAGGGGAACTCAGACACAGCACAACCTTTGATACAACTGCACCTTTTTACATGATGATCTTTAAGAATAACACTTTGATGGCAAACACACTGAGCTTTTTAGTTGTTTAAATAGAAGAGAGAAAATATAAACAACTTTTGACAAATTGAATTATGAAAAAATCGAGTGAAATGAGACCAACATAATTTAAGAATATTTTGATACTATGGTGCCTAAAATCTTCTGAAATTTAAATTTTTGTCTTTTTGTCTTCCCACATAAAATTACTTCACACACAGCAAAGCTGGGACAAATTTTAATGTGACGTCTAAATCATAAAAATCGAAGAAGAAAATGTATAATAACATACTCTGTACAGTGATGTTGACTGCACTGCTGAACTCTCCTGATCCAGACTCACACCAGTACACTCCAGTATCTGAATCCCATGTGTGGATTATACATGTGGATCCAGTCATTCTCCAACAGTTATTATAATATGAAGGGTTGCGCTGTAGAACAGTCATCACTCTCCACTCTGTGAAGTTTCCCTCACAGGTCAGTGAGACAGAGTCAAAAATGAAGTGTTGCACTCTGTCAGGACTCACTGTGAGAGACGCTGCTGAATTAACATCTGAAAACAACATGCAGTGAAGAGACAAAGTACAGAGACGTTAGGATTCAAAATATCACAGTAAAAATATTCCTTTGTTTTTTTTCGTTTTTTTCTCGAGATCAGCTAATAATGTAAAAAGATAGTAATTATTTGGTGAAACTGCATTTTTTATATTGAACACATTATATTTTTAGTATCTTTATATTAGACTCACTGGTCCAAAATGAAAAGAAAAAAAAGAAAATCATGCAAAATAAATATTAAACATAAGGAAAATAAAATATATGAGCAAATGCTTTTTCTACAAAACACAGCTGTACAAATTCAATTCAATTCAATTCAATTTTATTTATATAGCGCCAAATCACAACAAAAGTCGCCTCAAGGCGCTTCATAGATACAGAGAAAAACCCAACAATCATATGACCCCCTATGAGCAAGCACTTTGGCGACAGTGGGAAGGAAAAACTCCCTTTTAACAGGAAGAAA